AAGCTCGTTGGATACTTTTTATTTGCTCGGGGCGTTTTTCCCGTCCCTTTTTTGTCTAGAACTTTTTAAATACGCAAGTTTCTCATTTCCTTCATCGTGAAATACGTTTTAGTAAGTTCCTATTGCGTTTAAATTAATTACCTTGTTTAAAACTTGGAAATCTTAAAGGAAAAAGCTTACCTTTCGCATGTTAAAAAATATTATTTAAAAAATATACTGCCTGTAGTTTACGCACATTTAAAAAAAACACTTTTAACAGTTTAAAACGCGAACTGTATTAGATAACATTTGTGAAATAATTTGAATTACGGCCCGACGTTTCGGATGCTTTGAAGCAGTTAACTTATACATTTCGCGTTTTAAACTTAAAAGTGTTAAAATAAAGTAATAAAAAAAATGAAATTCTTATTAAAGTTTGACTCAGTACACCACCAAATAGATAACGAGACTTACTTTTTTTAACCGACTTTAGTTTTTAATAATAGTAATAGTTGTAAATTATTTATGTTAAAAATTGTTATTTTATGTTAAAACACTTTTAACGGTTTAAAACGCGAAATTTATTAGATTAAAAGTGTTTTATTTTAAATACTTATTAAAGGTTGACTCAGCAATAACTAACTAACTAACTAAATAAGATTTCACTTGAATAAAATTAAAATCACTTTTTACAAACAACGAACAATTTTACAATAGTCTAATGGTAAACAATATAATATCTGTCCTTTAACATTGTAAAGATCCTGAAGACAATTTAACGAACATCCCAAAAAGGCTGGGTTTAATCAAACATCTATCAGTAAAGCCGGGTTGGTTTAAGGCAAAACAAACGATCAAATTAGTCCGCCCGCTAGATCCTGATTGATGGATGGGTAACCCGCAGATAGTCTTATGCAATTAACTTCTTAACAAAAGCCCCAATTCGCCATTTTAACAAACACTGAGGGTAGACAGTAATATTCTCCGCAAATAGGTTTTAATCATTTATGTTATTATCACCGATATATCTATAAACAAAGTGATTTGACGTAAATTTTGTCGCTAGTGGTTTACCAGGTAAAGACGATTAGGTCTTTCCTTTCTCAGTCAGAAGGGACGTCGTCTACTTCCTATTCTATATATATATAAACTTCTCCCCGTGACCACGGCTGCTGCAAAGCGTCCGAAACGTCGCGCAGAAGTGAAAAATCATTTTCAAATAACTTTTAACTAATATATCGCGTATTAAACCGTTAAAGTTAATGTTTGCCTATGAAAACGTTCTATCCTTATTAAATTGTATAAATAACTATCAACAAGAGCAACTACAAGTCGAAACTCCTTTGAATTCACCTTTGTAAGACGTGTAGCCTTCACGAAACTTTTAGCTTTACCAGCTTATTGAGACATGCTTTTCGATACAAGACTCTATTACTTTGCTTTAAAGTTCAATTTACTTCAATGCACTTATTAGCATGGCTTATAAAAGGGGTTGTATTATTGGAAATTCCTGAATGTCGGAACGTTCGTCTGATATCGAATGTCGACAACGACAGTTTGAACTGCGATTGGAGTTCGGAACCGTACGTGCTGGCTTTCCAGCGTGAAAGAACATTTTGTTTCAGCATTTTCAAATTTAAAAATGGAACTTTGATTTTAAAATTGGAACGGAAACAATTTACATATTTAATTACGAACCGCTCTCTTTTGTTATGATACTTTAGCTGATAAAAGCGGTACAAGAAAAAGGTTTTAAGAGATTAATTTACGCGTAAACTTTTTAATATCTTTATAAAGTCGATTATAAAATTTATGGACAAAGTGACTTAAGATACCGCGAGAGATTGTGTTTGTAAACTTTGTTTATGTTCCTACGAAATAAATAAAAATTTCCTTGGTAATACATAATATAATTTCAATTCAACTTTAAAAAAAATTAAATCTATACTGAACTATCAAAAAATAAATTCATGATTTTCTTGTTATAGTATTATTCTGCCACTAGTATTTAAGGATATACAGATAATTCAATGTATTAAAATTCCAGATCTAACGCGTCGCCATGAACTAGGTAAAAGGTAACTCACATAAAACAAAAGTGTCAGTTATTACATTAATAACAGGTCGACCGCAAAAACCCAACCCTTTTTGTTTACCCTTCGGGAACGTTGCAACTTCCGTACCTCTCCAAGATTAATGTAGGTAGATCATGCGTAATAATATTATGTACAAGAAATAAACGTTAACATGTACAAATAATGATAAACAGTACTCTAACTTATAGCTTAGTGTTCTTACTGAATTTAGTATATTTTTAATGATAAGGTAGGTGATGTACCACAGCCTATAGCGTCTAAGCAAGTTGCACTCTGTTAAAAGCGTTTTATATATTTAAGCCGTTTTCATTTCGTCTTTTGGAAATATAAATATCAAGTAATTGTGATAAAGTAACTTGGCTAAAGCCACGAATAAACTAAAAGAGTTAAGATATTTTAAAAGACAAATTTAAGTGTAGTGTAATCAGAAAAGTTTTCCCGCGATAGCCAAAACTCTGATCAGATTTTATTAAAGTACCGTCAGTGCTGCGTGTTAGAACATTTATCAAGTTCGCTGTGATTGACACCCGGAAAATAGCGACACAAAATCTAGCTTTAACGATAAACTGGAAAAAAGATTTTTATGAAAAATTTCAAGAAAAATTTCTTTTACTCAATTGACTTCAAGCATTCTCAAATTTAGGTTCTGAAAATTAAAACAAAACACCACACAAAAAATGTATAATGAGAGCAAATATCAAATGTAATAATAAATTTATTAAACCAAATCTAGGCAGATCTTGTTTCTCGAAAATTAAAATTACTATATTTGAAAAGTATATTCAAATTGTCATTTCTTTATTTTTTTTAGTAGCGAATTACATTACGACAGTCATATCCATTTCTTTACACAACGTCAAGATAGTTACGGATTGTCTGATTTATGATAGTGGTCTTCAACAAAAACTTGGCCAACATACACGATTTCCACGGACACACCATTCAAATGTTTTTTCGCTTCCCTCCATTAATCTTCATATACGTTTTCATCTATCTTTCTTGTTATTCCCACTGTTACAAATAGTTAAAGTTAAGCGTAAAATGTTTTCACTAAGAGAAGTAGAACTTGTACCAAATTTCTACAATTGATACTACCTCTAATATTCTAGGTCTCTTTGCGTTATTGCGGAGAAAATTTACTTTTTGATTGAAAACAAAGTGTGACTCTAGCGGGACGAAAACACACAACCACTTTTATAAAATCAACTAGCTGTGCCCGCGACTTCGTCCGCGTGGAATAGTGACTTGGGGTAGAATGTTTAATTATTGAGGCTGTTCATTAATTTATTTAAGGACGCAGCCAATCCTTGTTGTAAGTGCCACTTTGCCGCAACACTCTCACCTGACATCACTCTCACTCCCACTCCTATTACTAAAAAGCCAAAGAAGAAAATTCATTGTTCTAGGTTCAAAAACCACGAATTTCCATACAAACTTTTATCCCCCCACCCCTTACATCCCTTTTTCGCAATAAAAAGTAGCCTATGTTCTTTCTCAGGGTCTAGAACATCTGTGTAGCAAATTTCATTCAAATCCGTTCAGTAGTTTTGGCGTGAAAGAGTAACAGATAGACAGACAGACAGAGTTACTTTCGCATTTATAATATTAGTAAGGATAAGGATATATTCCTAAATGTGAAAAGGGTCCTCGGTTAAATCCCTACTGAAACGAATATATTTCTAATTAAATTTATATTTTTTCTGAAACAAGTTGGACTTCGTATGGAAAAATATTCAAAGCCGAAAGAGATCGACAACACATAATTGTCTGTCCTTCTCTATTATAAAACAATCGGAACTTACAGTAAACTAATAAGGTTATTAAAAACATATGTACTTGCAACTTTTTTATTTTTTTATAAAACAAATTTTACAAAGTTACATCGAGAGCATTGCATACGCTATCACACTTCCTATTTCCTAAGCAGATTCAAGATAAAGAACGTGACCAAACCGCGTTTCAAACCAGCGATATACAATATTTACAAAACAATATGAATATTATCTGTGTAATTTATAGTAAATGAGAATATTTATAAATATAATCTCACACGAGACAATCGCATTGTCAACAAGCGCTAATGATCTTTTGTTGTGGCAACACAAATAATAAATCGACTCACACTCGAATCACAATAGGTAGATAGGTTTGTACTAAAATGAACATATTGAGATGAATCATAAAAAATATATGGCGAGATAAACACATATGCGATATGCATTCTTAGAGTAACTATATTAATATGACAAGGGCATTTTATACTTTGCCAATTGAGTTATCGTGTCAGATCAAGAACACGGAACAGTTCGGCTTCCATCCGTGTCATAATTTATAAATCTATAATTATTAATATAAACTACCATAAGGAAAGCAATAAACATTTAAGTTACATTAAATACGACTTGATTACTTTGCCTGAATTTCTTCAATTTTAAAACATGATTCTTTGACACAAAACATTCTAGCAAGATGGTTGATGACACGAACGGGACTCATACTAACGACCTCAACCGTGATGCGCTAGGTGTCGCCGCGATTTACATAGTTATTTATACACGTTTGCAAAAAAAGATTAGTCGAATATGGTTTGTTTCGAACTCCGTTATCGTATAAAAGATACACTTTAACGGTTTAAAACGCGATATTTAATTAGTTAAACTAATTTGAAAATTCATTTAACTAAGGTCCGACGTTTCGGGTTATATATTGCGTTTTAAACCGTTATACTGCTTTATTTAATACTACTCGCGTAAATTACAGACAATATTTCTTTATCCTATGTCGTGTACGTCTTTATAACTTCATGCAGTGATACAGATTTACGCAGTGCACACATTCGTCTAACAAGATAGGCACGAGATTCATTTTTACATTGTTCTTAGTCTACCTTAATCAGTCTGAGTTAAACCTAGTCATGTCTAGAGTCTAGACATATATCTCGACTTCAAAGTTGAGGGGGTGATGTCGTTGGCTCTTCATTCTAACTGTGACGTATGAATAGCCAATCCCCCCGTCTGTTATGTTGGCACTGGCGTGGGAAAAGTCATTGTCTATCGCCGCGACACCCTGGAAGGAAAAACAAAGTAAATATCATTTGGTTGCACAATAGGGCGATTCAGGAATTCAAACGCAAGTCGTACCAAGACAAACACGGTACGTGTTTCTATGATGGTAAAAACAGAAAAAATAGTAAACAAGATGTGCTATCGACCTATTTTGGCTTTGGATATTCGGAAATCCGCAGAATGAAACCGAAACGTAAGTAGACTTCACTGCTTTTTTATCTGTGGTTTTGTGGAATTTCGATATACCTACCACCCGTTTAATATCCAGATTTCCAGACGAAGTCCAAAATGTTTCAGAAAAATTGTTGAAGAAATATCTTGGACTCGGCGGGGATCGAACTCATGGCCTGTTAATTATTTGCCCTACATTGCTACCATTACGAGCCCGTCTAATATGTATAAACAATTTAGTTTTATGTATACTATAAATATAACACGAAAACATGACCGCTACTAAATACTGTCTATAGTTTACGCGAGTAGTACACATTTAAATAAAACACTTTAACGGTAATCATTTCTAAATAAGTTTAACTAATATATCGCGTTTTAAACCGTTAAAGTGTTTTATTTAAATAAACGCTACTGTTGCAATGGATGCGTAGCATGTCTAACAGGTGTAATTTCCTTGCTGTCAGAAGACAAATCTGTGATACGATATAGGAATATGCTACTAACTAATGAAAAGAGGTTTAAACAACATTTTGACATAAATCGGAAACATTTATCATTACTCACAATACACAAATTAACTGACTCAGTATCAAAATGGTGATTATTGCTAATTTTAAAACAACAGATTAAGCATAATATTAAACATGTCGTTACTGTTTAACATTAAACATGTTTATACATATTTAAAAAATGTTCGACTTCGACAAGAGTGGAACGTGGATAAGTCATTCTTACGTCTTCTTAGGCAGATGAAAAAGCATTGGTAAATACTCTGTGTAGTTTACGCGAGTAGTACACATTTAAGTAACATACTTTGACGGATTAAAACGCGACATATTTTAGTTCAACTTGTTTGAAAATTATTTTTAACTACGGCCCGACGTTTCGCTTTAGAGCAGCCGTGTAAAGCATCCGATTTTCAAACAAATTTAACTGAAATATATCGCGTTTCAAACCGTTAAAGTGTTTTATTTAAAAGCAGAGGAAAGCTTTATATAACGGTCTTTTGCGCGTTCGATTTTCGAAATTGTCTTATTGCTTTATCACATGTAACTGTCACTTTTGAAAATCGAACTTAAGCTACATTCATAGCACAGCAAATGTTTTGTTAGTTATTGTAACCACGAGGATATTTACTTAGTTATACAGAGTCGTTTCAGTTATTTTAGTAAATTTACACTCCGCAAGCATGCTGGGAATGTTAAACATGCGCTTTTGCTTTCGTTTCAAACCTGTTTCGCTCGAATGGCCATCTTAAATTGCAGGATAATAATAAATCATTCAGTCAAGGTAACAAATGAGTCAAGGTTAATTGGTCTCTTGTGATCATTAGGATGTTAATGAGAATGTTTTGCATATTTTTTATTTTACATTAGGAGATACAGTTCGGGGTCTTATTGTGACGAAATTGAGATATAGAAATTGTGTCAAGAATACAACGACCTTTTATAATGTACAATAAATTAGATATTAAGTATAATCTATAATATAAAGCGTTTTTATTACACTTAAAGGACGTTACAAGGGATAAAAAGACAAAAATTATTAAGTGTTGGTAGCTAACAATATCGAATATTTAGCTCTCAAACGTGCGTTTTAACGATATTCCTTATATCAAACTATTGACATCAAAAAATCAGAAAAAAGAATTAGTGTAAAGTATCTAGGAGGTAGGATGAATGCTTTTTATTTATTTATTCCGATTCACACATTCCGAATATCGAACTATCATACATCATAAAATTGTATTTAACGGTTTAAAACGCGTTTTAAACCGTTAAAGTGTTTAATTTGAATGTGTACTACTCGCGTAAACTATAGACAGTATTTACATTGTTACTTATGTTCGATTCGCAACCGAAACCAATCGCGCTTTAAAACGTGGCATGAAACAAATAACTAACCTTAATAATCCTTTTTTCAGCATCCGTATAAGTTAAAGTTTTTATCCTCTTCTTGAAGGGTATCGCGAAATCCTTAACTCTCTGATGAAACACCATCTTCCTGTGCACCTTTTCACCAACGAACATATCGTAGTTCTTACACAGACACACGCAAGAGAACAAAGTTAACACGAACAGTAAGCGCATGCCGATAGCATTTTTGTTAATGTCTTGCTTACACGACTGACAGCCGTCAAATGACGAATATAATTGCGATAACCTTCGATCGACGACTGTTTACATATATCGTTATAACAAATTCGAATGTGTTTCGCGGAATATTATAATATATTATCAATACGAGAGTTATCACTTTTTGAACTGAACTCCTTAAGTTGAGCGTTGTAATTGCGTTTGCTGAATGAACGTTTTTCGTTAGCAAATTACATTTTATATTGTATTTTTTATTGATAACTTTGTTATTACAATTGGCTCGGTAGTCGCAGTGTAGTTAATAACTGGATCGATTCCCGCTAGATCCTATACGTAACTAAATTATTTAGTAATTTTGTTAATGTCTGAAAAATATGGATGGTAAAGCGAGGGTAGTTATATCGAAACTCCTTTCGGTTCCCAATAAATTTCATCAATCAAAATTCTTGTTTTAGCCTTTGAATGTTCATAGTCAAAATAGTTCAATATCGCATCTTGATTTGATGTTACAAGTCTTAGAGGTTAGTCTGTCCTCCTCTGTGTATTTGTTTTTATCAATTGTACAGACTTAATTCAAAAAATGTTTAGGCATCAATTAATTGTTATCTGTAAGTAATTCAAAAGTTTGAATATTTAAAACGCTCGTAACTTATGTTTTACGGTTTCCGGGCCTTTTTATATTTTAATAAAACAATTAACAATTGCTCCATTGTTATCTGTATATAGGATGCAAGGATGCATAACTTAAAACGCGTTAGGTACTTCACCTTACTTAATTTACTCTTTGCAATGTGGACTCGCATTATCGTCGTTCTAGGTACGATCCTCGAAATACCTGTAAAGTTTGCACTTTGCACAACAAGTACATACCTGCTACGTCTATGTAAGAAAACTATTACGAGCCCGTCACCTGGCTCGTTGGTCTTATGGTAACAATGTATAACTAATAATCAATAGGCTGTGGGCTTGAACCCCACTGGGTCCAACATGTTTAAATTTTTTTCAATTTATAATTTTTTCTGAAACATGTTGGATTTTTTCTGAAAATCTGGATATTTAATGAGTGGACTATCGAAATCCCGTCCATAGATAAAAAAGCCGTAAAATTTTTTCGCGTTTCGATTTCAGTCTGTGGATTGCCAAATATCCAAAACCAAAATACTGGCTGGGGTATTTTGCTGGCACCCATAATTAAGTAAATTCTCGTAAATGTAAAAGGAATTGATAGAAAAAAGAAAATACTTCGATTCGATTTACAGACCTTGTAAGTCCCGGCTTTTGGACACTACTGACACCATGATAAATCCAATATCGACCTCGCACAAGAATCCAGCTTTCCCTATCCGCAAAGGAAAAGATATATAAAAAGGTGATATATCTTTCTAACTATTCAAAGGATAAAAATTCTTAGAATTAATTTACTAGAATTTAGAAGACTACTGTTTTTCATCTGGGCTGGCACCCACTAATTAATCAAATTTTCTTAAATTTAAAAGGAATGTAGGAAAAAGAAAATAAGACTTCTAGTTTTACAGGCTTTGTAATCCCTTCTTTTAGCACTCCTGAAGAATGATAAATAATATCATCGACAAGAGCTAAACTCCGCAAAACAACTGTGGGAACAGCGATTTTTAATAACTAATCTGACAGTTTAGAAGTACAAAATTGATGATCAGGGTTAATAACGATGTAATTTTAAAGTTAATCTCTGTAATTTTCAATTTAAAGTTGGCCTATTTTTCAATTGTGTTTTAACGATGATTTAATTATTCTAATCTCTTTACACAAATATTATTATAGCAAGTGTTAAAAAAAAACAAGTTTGACCTAATGCCAAACTTTTAAACGCCTTATTTAAGAAGCAGTACTGATAAATATGACAAAAAAGAAAGTGTTTTTTAACCTTATTTTTGACTATTTTTTAACCTAAATGGGTACTGAAAGCGAATTTAATCGTTTCAACATAATAATGCGCCACTAATAGACACAGGCTGTCTTATAAGAATAAGGATTTTGGAGTTCAGATCCGCTATGATGCTTGAGTACAGGTTGGCAGACTTAACAACTACCCCCACAAAATTAGTGAAAATAATTGGGGTCGACAACTTTGTATACACCTCGAAGTACCAGCCACTACGTTCTTCTCAATAACAAGTCGTTCCTAAAAAACATCTTAGACTATTTCTAAATACCGAACTTACAATAATTAGTGCAAAGCTAGATTTGAAGTCTGGATCTACAGCCGAGTTTACTACCCAGTACAACAACAGAGCAGTTATAACATTTAATATTTAAATAAAATACGTTAAACGGTTTGAAAAGCGAAATATATCAAGTTATTTTTAATTGACTTTATCCACCGGCCCGATGTTAAGAATGCTTTCAAGAGTCGCAATATATTTTGCGATTTAAACCGTTACGAGTGTTTTATTTAAATGTGTACTACTCGCGTAAACTATAGACAATGTTAAATATTTCTTTAAAATTATATTAATGCGTTTCAACACAGTTATGTTTACCTTAATTGTTAAATAAATGGTGTCTATTATATTTGATCACTACCAAACACCTTTTCTGCAAAGGTTTAAGTATACGGTCATATTTGTAACAAAGGGAAGGGTTAAGGTACCGTTTTAATTTAGATTAATTGCTCATTTTCTCGTACCCTACCTACGTGAGCGTGTAATTTTGGAGGAAATTGAAGTTTCTTGTCTGGTATTATGTTCATTATTACATTACACAATTATGAAGCAAGATCAATTGGTCGATTGTATGAAATTCTGTTCCCCGTAGGCAATACCTTTTAAATCACTGCTTGATTGCTTAGTTTTAAAATAATGTAAAAGATTTCAATACAACACTTTAACGGTTTAAAACGCGATTGAAATTAGTAAAACTTATTTGAAAATAATTTTTCCTACGGCCCGACGTTTTGGATGCTTTGCAGTAGCTGTGGTCAAGGGAAAGATGGAAGGTGTCTGACGTCAAAGTATAAAACTGCTACGCTACCGCCATCTGGTTGTCGAAGTTGGTATTTGGCGATATATGTTTAACTAATATATATCACGTTTAAACAGTTGAAGTGTTTTATCAAAATATGTACTACTCGCGTAAACTACAGGCAGTGTTTAATTAAAAAGGTGTTAAACAATAATTTAAATTGCTTGTAAATATGTATCTTTCAAAACTACGTTTCATTGTGGCATGATGTAGCATAAGTGTCTTAACTTGAAATTACAAAACCCTCTGATATTAACTTGTGCTGCGTAAATGTAACTAAAAATATGTTAGTACTAGCAGTGTCAGCGACTTCATCCGCGAGAAGCGTTATTTTGGGTATCCAAATTCGTTTTACAAACCCCTTTCATCTTTATAACCTTGAGCTGTTACCCAAGATCTTCGTCGTGTCCCTTCTCGCGGTTTCAAACAAACATACAAACAAACTCTTTAGTTTGATATATTAGTTAAAGAACCAAGTATATTAATACTCAAAGCAAAAAAATCCGCTCGTATTGTCTGCATTACCATCCGTCTTGTATCCTACAAATAAAACTTGAGCCAGCAAAAATAAATCAATGTTGGACTTTGCTATTTTTCTCCTAACCACATTCTGTGTACGTGCTTGGACTAATCAAGAATGCAGAGCAAGCACACTTAATACTTAAGGTTAACGTTGAAAATAATATAGAGAAAATGGAAAAAATATTTTGAATAATAGCGATTCCAAGAATTTGTAAACAAACTTTCATTAACAACATGTTTAGAATTTATCTTGAAAGATCTATAGGTATATAATTATGTTCTTAATATGGTTTTGTAAAATCAAGTTTTACATCAGCTCCATTTATTTAATAAATTACAAGAGCTATGAAGAAGAAATCGCTTTATCCGTCCCAAAAAGAAGTCCTGCTAGTTTAGCGTTTGGCTCTCTAAGACGTGGGTGGACAGACAAACATACTGTTACTAAGATAATGTTTACATTGTTCCAAATGCAACTAAGCAGATGGCGTTAGCGTAGCAGTATTGACGTTGACATAAGGGACACCTATCATCTTCAGTCCCCCTTGTCCTCGACTGCTGCAATGTAACCGAAACGTCAGGGGGTAGTTAAAATAAATAAAAATAAGTTTTTATTTCGCGTTAAAACCGTTAAAAGTATTTAAATATATAATAATAATTACTCGCGTAAACTACAGATAACGCTTGGCAACGGCTTGTAACTGAAAATCTATTTCGAAAAGATCTGCTAAATCACGAGTAGTATTATGATACTGAAATGAAAGTGGGGCCTGATATAGGATTTTCCCACTCACTGAATAAGACTACCCTACTCAGTAGTAAGAGGATAAAAGCAAAACGAACCAATTTTAATGGTATAAAGGTTTCGGGCGAAATCCATTATGAATGAGGTTTATTTCTGTAGTTTTCATAACACACATGAAAAGTTTACTTTATACGATATAAGTCCGTAAAAAGAAATTCAAGATATTAATCTTCCGTAAATAATTGCAAGAAAAACAAGTTTTCTAATTCTTAGAAGAAATATTCCTCAATTGCTTTTGGTATATTGTATGAAATAGCTGACATTGTTAATTTTTTGTAATTCTACACCGAATAAGTTGATTATATACATGTGCGTTGCTTATTGGAGCTAATATAGGTAATAATATAAGGTTAAATAATGAAAAATAAGATACTAAAATGAAACCAAACTTTTTAAAGGAAAAGTTGGTATTGCCTATTCAGTGGCCTTATGTTACTTTATCCCACTTCTGGAACTAGTTTGTAACTAACTGAAACCGTCTTGTGTTATTTTTATACGGAACTTTTCTCTCTTAATGGAATTGAGTTTCAAGCCTCGGATGAGCTAATGATATTCACTTCGGTAAACTGTTTCCTTTATCCGCGCAACGTGCATTTCCCAAAATTTCACT